GTTGCTGGTTCAATTCCTTGTCAGGGCACATGCCAAGGCTGTGGGCCAAATCCCCAGTGGGGGGCATGCAGGAGGTGGCCTGTTGATGTTCTCTCTCATCAGTGTCCCTCTCCCCCCCCCCAAATCAATAAAGAAAATAAATAAATAAATAAATAAATAAATAAACAAACAAATAAATAAATAAATAACTGGATTTCATGACTGATTGCATGAGATAGTCAAAGTACAAAACGACCTCCTTAAATTGTGCAAATTAAACACTAATACATATTATATGCTTTATTAGTTAGGGTATAGGTTCAGCATTAGTAACAAATGGATATATTATGTTTTTTTTCTTTAACATTCTGAAGATGATCAGTCCAGGCTGGACAGACAGCTCTGCTTTACACAATCTTTGAGGTAACTAGATTCTATTCATTTTGTTGATCTGTCACCACTAGTGTGTTTTCCTAGTTTTTATAGGCAACATTGAATCACCACTCCATTCTTGTTCCATTGGGAGGAGGTAAAAAGCAAATGGAGGGCATGCACTATCAACTTTAAGTGTACAAAGTAGAATTTGCACATACCATACCTGTTCAATCCCAATGGCCAAAACCTAGTCCTGTGGCCACAGCTAATTATAAGGGAATATGAAAAACACGGGCTCTAGTGGGGCAGTCAAAACTTGGACAGGAATGAGGGCTCTATTAGTGAAAGGAAGAATGAGAGGATGGATGCTAAGGAAGAGCAGCCTTACCATTAGTCAACCTCTCTAGGAGTTAAGTACTTATGAGAATGCCTTTTCCCACCAAATTTAACCCCTCTCCAGAGAAACAACTCCAAGTCCCAACCAGATTCTGAATCCAGCAAAATGTTCAGGATCTCTAAGTGACTCTAAGGAAGGAAGGAAAGACTGGAACTAAGGAAGATGATAACTATGTTTCAAACACAAACCTGGCATCCTTCCTCCACACTTCCCACACATAAGCAGATACATTGTTTTGCTTTGGCATAACAAGGAAAAGTAACAACTTGAAACATGCCAAACTTGGGTCCTCACTGCAGTAAAATGGGTCATAGAAATGTAATTTGTATCAGCTATACAATGCTTTCATGTAGATCAAATATAACTTTACAAGGGAGTACAACTGATTGATGTTTCTCTCTCACATTCATGTTTCTCTCTATTCCTCTCTAAAATCAATAAACACTAAAAACAAATTAGCTAACAACTTCACATTTTAAAAATTATAAACTGAACTCAAACGATACTAAATGCAGGGATTAACGATTATAAAGGTTTAAATCTGTGCTGATCTAAAGGAAGCCCTTAACATGGAATATTATACTTATGTTGCACAAAGTGAAGACATTTTACTGGGTTATATACTAATTCTGTTCAGTTTGCCTTAACCTAATTAGGTATTATTATTAGTTATATATTTTAATTCCAAAGCATCACATTTTTCATCATACATTTTCTCTAAGAATAAAAAGATTAAAGTGAATATTTGAATAAAAGTATCAACATACTTAAGTGGCTTAAAAGTCAGCTTTCCACACATAATTAAAAGATTTGAATTTTGCTTTTTTATTATCCCAGCAAATGTTACACTAGATAAAATGATTGGGAAAATACAAATAGTTTCATTAAAAACACAGGCTGATTATTCAGATCTACTACATTCAAAAGTATGCAAAACAACTTATATTGCAAAGCTTTTTAATTCCTTTTCCTAACAAAGCATTATTTTATAAAATTGTAGTGTTTTATTGATTCAATTTTAATACAAAATACTTATATACACAATACAATATAAAAGTAAACTGTGGTACAGTGCCTTCCACAAAGGGATATATTAAGGCGCTTTACAAATATACCAATATGTTGACCCAAATTACTTTTTTAGATTAAAACAAACAGGCTATTGTTTCACTTTAAATACCAAAGGGATTTTTATTTTTGTTTATTAAAGAAAATTTCTAAAGTACCTTAGGTAACAGCAGCAGCAATATCTAAAAATCCTCCCACTGTATTTTCTAATTTCTAACACATTAAGTCAGAATAAAACATTTCCACTCACAGTTTTGCACTTTGCAACAGCAGAAGGTAATCACTTTTTTAAAAAGTCAGTCTCAAAGTGACTTCTTAGTCATACATTCTATAGTTTCTATTACAAATAAGGTAGAAAAGATACAGCAATAGGGCCTGCCTTAGGATGTCACTGAACAATACATAACAGTATCTACAATTACATAATTATAGAACACATTTCATAAATACTATTGATATGCATAAAAGGGGTAAGTATAACAAAGACAGTAACTTTGTAATGACTGGGAAATTTTTTTTAAAGAAAACATGCATAACCCATGTTTCACTCCATTTCAATTGAAAGCATATAGATTTATATTCTTATCTTTTTGGTCAGGAAGCACCAGATTCTATACTGGAAGAACTGGATATAGTTTGGGAATAAGATAGCTAATAAGTATATCCAAATTATTAAAACTAGATACTAAAGGCTTGTATAAGGCTTCAGATAAACATAAAGTTTATACTGTCAGGAAATTTCAAAAGAATACGTTTGTAGTGTCTTACATTTGAGAAATAAGGGCAACACAGATTTTGTGAGGGGGAAGTGGGAGGGGGCAGCACCTTCGTTTTCCTACAACATAAATATAACAAACTTGGTTTTGTACTGTACTGCACCATAGTGCAGAAGTAAAACAACTAAATGGAAATTTAAATGTGACTGAGAAAGCCCAAGAGCAAGAGGTATGTCTTGAAATTTTGAGTACTGAGCTAAAAATTCTTGAACTAATTTGTTTTGCATAGAATTTTATAGAACTAATCATGTCCCATGAAGACTGTCATCTCATGTGCATTTTCTTACAATTCTGATTAGAAGTCCTTCAGAAATTATTTCTTTATCAAGCCTGTAGAGCCAAACATGTCAGTGCCCTCAAAAGGGTGTGTTTAGAATGTCTTAGTGCTGTACCAGAAAGAGAAGCACTCATAGGGATATCTTATCACATGGTACAGACTTTTTCCATCACAAGTTATCAGTGTTTATACACGATGTGCTAATCGAAAAACTAATCAGTAAATGTAAAGCAAAGTTCTTAGTTTATGTATCAGTGTTCTTAACAGGACAGAGGTTCTTAACCAAGAGTTTATGATAGATTTCAGCATGTCCAGAACCCCTAAAACTGTACACATTTCATGTGTATGTGTTCATGTCCATTTTTTCCCCTAGGAAGAGTCCACAGCTTTCATCAAATTTTCAAAAGGAGCAATGATCCCCAAAGATCACCGCCCCTTCCTACACACACCCATTACAGTGTGTTGCGCAGAGGTTTACAAGCCAAGCTCTGAGAGGGCCATCTACAGAAAGGTGAAAACTGTGAGCTAATAAATCTTTGCTGTCCCCAATTCAACTGGAACAGCTTTAACATAATTTTACTTACGTATATGATTTCCATTAGCTTTTATATATTAAAAAAAGCTAAAAGTTTGAAAATCACTAAAATTTTACTAATATAAGAATAGAGCCCTTTTCCCCATCCTAAAAAATAAGCTAAATGTATTTTGGTTTGAGACCACAAGTCTTCTTGAAACCTAAACCTATATAATAGGAATGTTGAAAAACATATTTAACTTTAAAATAAGTTAGGAGGACTTGAATTTTGACTAGGACCACTATGTAACTTTCCCTAATTACTAATGGCCACCTTAATTAAGAGTTAAATATTTTTTTTCCATCAATCTGCCCATAGGTTAAGTATTGCAAAATAGCCATATCTTCCTTTGCTGTTAAACAATCCATGTATGCAGCACTGTTCTGAAAGAAGAAACCTGTAACATTACTGATGACATACTCAAAATGCCACAATATAGTAAAAATACTATTCTAGTGAGTACCCATAAATAACTTCTAATCAAAGTTTCATATGAAACTGGAAACAATCTTTCTGCTTAGGATGGTGGAAATCATATTTAAATTTCAAAGTAAAAATATGAAAAATCTTAGCTTTTAATATAAGAAATTTTGATTCATAGCAGCTTTGTTCCCTTTAAAACTGGAAGCAGCACAAACAGCAAATGGTGGAATTTTTAGTAAACAGACATAAGATGAAAAGAACAACCCTCATGCTTGATGTAAATATGTATCCACAAATATAGTCAGGCTTCTTTTCCAGCAAGGTATTGAATTCTTTTCCAAGGTAACTATGGACAGTCTGTAGAAGAATATGCTCCGTTAGTGGTTTTAACTTTAATAGCAAACTAATTTCTGAATATAAAGAAGAAAAGAGATCTAGTCTTCTCAAGAGTAGCAATCTAACATTTATAGGAATCTCCAAAACAAGTATCAATAAAAACAAATTCAAGGACTGGTGTTCTGTGAAATAATCTTCTGACTGTAATCATGTATAACACATCAACCCAAATAATAAACATTTCATATAATGCAAAAAATAAAATATCCACCTGGAAGCAGCATTAAAAATACCAATATGGAAAGAAAAATGGTAGTGCTTTGCTTTTAATGCCAGTAATTCTTGAGAAACAAATGTTAAATATTCCAGTGGGAAATAAATGAAGTTTATCTATTTTTCTCTTCTGATCGACCCTGTCACCCTGTATTTCTTAGTCCCGAGACATGAATTACGCAAATTATAATTAGCCTAGGAACATTCACCACCATGGCTTAATTTCTATAGCTTATTTTGTACCAAAAACAAGGTTATGGGAGGGGGGAGGAAAGCTTTGTAAATGTGGGATATAGTTCATATTTGGTTAAAGCAAAATAAAACTAAAACTGTCTTTCAAAATGATTTCAAACTCTTGTCTTTTAAAATTATTTAGCATATGTACAAATAGATACCAGGCTTCTTCTTTTAAACAAAGCACACTATTTTTTTTATTTTCAGTACTTTAAGTACTAGAACTGACTAAAATATTCAGTTCATAATTTATAACTTTTTTCTAAATTACTGATTATAAAGGCTGGAATAAATTAACATTTTAAAAGGATATCCCATAATTTAGGAACATAAAATATTGTGCACAGAGCACATACACACAGCTCTGTCGCATTTGCATAATTTTACTCTCAGAGCCTCAAAAACCCCGCATTTCAGGCCTTTTTGCAAATCCTCATTACAATTATTTCCTAGTGTGTTAAACATATACTAGATCACGATTTTTTATCTCTGAGCCTGTGTGCCGATCATCTTCATCTGACTGTTGCTCTGAGCCTTGCGAATTAATATATTCATATTCAATAGGTTTTGGATAATTATATGGGTAGCCATTGTCATCAAAAAACCTCCTAAAGGTAAATTCATAGAAAGCATGTTCAGGGTGCTTCCCATTTTTATACCATCCGTTGAGAGTGTCATTTACATTTTCTTCCTCATTATCATCACTCCATAACTTATCAGGGTCAACTGGATCAAAATTTGATGTATCTGTTGGGTGTGTGATTTTAGGAATGTATGAAGCAGGTTGTTGTCTCAGGTCACTGGAGAAATCAATTGTTTTAAAAAATGGATGAGCTTTTATTTCATCAGCACCATTCTTGCCTAAGCGATCTTCTGGTCCTCGGCAAAGTTTAATTATAAGATCAGAGGCTTCAGGACTCAGTTTAGCTTTCAGTGGAATGTGAAGAGATGTTTGCCAGTTGATAACCTTTAAAGAAGATTTATAAAAATTAGGAGGAAAAAGATAAGTAAGACCAAAATTTTCTCCCAAGTTTTATATCAAAAACTCTTACCAGACTATTTGTAAATTTTTAAAATAAATTGCATGGTATTTCACCTTCCTTACCTTTACTAATAAATCATTGGTGGGAAATAATCTTTCTTCCCATCCTCTCCTCTTTAGGCAACTTATACTCATATTAGAAGACTCAATGTAATTTTTAGCACCTCTTGTAGAAATAACTATTTCTACTGTGCCTCCTCTGTTCTATAAATTTAACTGTATTATAACATCTCTAATACTTTGTGGTACCTATTTATGTTTGTGTCCTTCTACTATAGTATAAAATCCCATAAGGCTATAGACCATGTTTTGTCTTTGTATTTCCTGGCATATAATAGATGTTCAGTGGTTATGATTTTGAATAAACCAGAATGAGGGAGGCAAAGAGGGAGGAAAAAAGGGAAAGTGGAAAGGAGGGAAGAAGGGAAGGAAGGCAGTAGACAATCAACAAATATTTGTTAAATAAATGAATAAATGAACCCCATTTTTCCTTATTCATTTGGAACCTTATCAGCTACTGTAGAGGGAAGAAAAATAAACCCCTTCTTCTTCTTTTTTTAAAAAAAAATTTTTTTTTTTATCCTCACCCGAGGACATTTTTCCATTTTTTGTACAGACAGAGTGGGAGGGAGAGAGAGAGAGGGAAACATCGATGTGAAAGGGACACATTGAGTGGCTGCCACCCGCACGACCAACCAGGGCCAGGGACAAACTGCAACCAAGGTACATGCCCTTAGCTGGAACCGAACCCGGGTCTCTCCGGACCGCAGGCAGAGGCTCTAACCGCTGAGCCAAACCGGCCAGGGCAACCCCTTCTTCTAATATCTATTCTTATTACAGTTTTCTCCCAGGTTAGAAAAAGGAGATACTTCAACTAATAAAATGTCTGAAATTTTTGGAAAAAATTATGATACAGTATTAGTTATTTATGCCTGGTTCCATCATCTACTTTATTTTATTTTATTTATTTTTTATTTTTTTTAATCCTCATCCGAGAACATTTTTCCATTTTTTGTACAGATAGTGTGGGAGGGAGAGAGAGGAAGAGAGAGAGAGGGAAACATCGATGTGAAAGGGACACATCGAGTGGCTGCCACTCGCACGACCAACCAGGGCCGGGGACAAACTGCAACCGAGGTACATGCTCTTAGCGGGAACCGAACCCGGGTCTCTCCTGACCGCAGGTGGACGCTCTAACCGCTGAGCCAAACCGGCCAGGGCCATCATCTACTTTAAATAGGAGAAATTAATATATACAAACAGCTAGAGAAGTTCTTTACTTTAGAGTTACAATCAGGGTTGTTTAATTTAAGGTAAAAATAAAGGCTAGGCACACCAAAAAAAAAAATCAGTCAATTTAAAGATACATCAATAGGGCTTAATGTAAACTGAAGCACACAGAGAAAAAAATGGAATAAAAAAATAATAAAGCATGAGACATGGAAGATAATATCAAATGTCTACCATACGTATGTATACTAAACCAATTAAGAGTCCCAGGAGGAGGCAGGGAAGCAGAATAAATCTTTGAAGAGTAATAAGAGGGAATTTTCCAAACTTGATGAAGGCCATCCACCTACAATTCAAGAAGCTTTATGAACCTCAGTCAAGATGAATAAAAAGAAAACCACATGGGCACATAATGGTGGAAATACAGAAAACCAAAATTAAAGAGAAAAATATCCTAAGAGCAGCTAGAGGAAGAGAGGGGTTCCAGTTCTGAGTAAAATGAAATAGGTATACTCTACCCTGTCTTTCCTACTGAATGCAGCTATACAACCTGGGCAGAATGCACGTAGCAGCTACTCAAGGACCCTGAAAAGTAAAGACTAACATGCAGACTGAGGAAGAAGATAAGAAATTTGAAGCACCAATGAAATGGTGGTGAGTTTACCATTTTTTCATTTATTTTTATTTATTTATTTTTTTAATCCTCACCCGAGGGCATTTTCCCATTTTTTGTACAGATAGAGTGGGAGGGAGAGAGAGGAAGAGATAGAGAGAGAGAAACATCTACGTGAAGGGACACATCGACTGGCTGCCACCACACGACCAACCAGGGCCGGGAACAAACTGCAACCGAAGTACGTGCCCTTAGCGGAAACCGAACCCGGGTCTCTCCGGACTGCAGGCCGACGCTCTAACCGCTGAGCCAAACAGGCCAGGGCACCATTTTTTCATTTAGAATTCCCTGGTTTAGACTCAAGGTAGCCCAAACCTTGACGATGTATAACAGAGTGAGCTCTAGGGAAAGTCCTTCTAGTTCAGGCTCAGAGATTGGGAAAGGGGTTTTCTGGCCCCATCAGAGGTACAATAAGGGCCACCTGAAACTCTGAGAGAAGGGACTCTTCCTCTTCAATTGGAAATTAAAGCACATGGTCCTAAGAAGTTAGATGGAATCCCTGTCACTTTTTCTGTCTGTGAGCTCTTGCTATCTTGTCCTGGGTGCAGGCACAGTCAGGAGACATGTGTGACACAGTAGAATAAATCTTCACTCTCTAGTCAAAGAACTGAAAAGGGAAGCCTGAAGGAACTGGCAAGTACCAGGGACAAGGCAGAGGAAGAACAGATCGCATACAAACTGCTAGGCTCACCTCTCAACTGTAAGGATCTTATCCTAAAAAACACATCAAGAACTTTGAGACCTGAACTAAGGAGAAGACCACAGTGAGAGAGAGATCTCCTTCGCAATGTAAAGGCTTTGACAATGTAACTGACACTGAAGTCACAAACCACAAAAGGCTGGTTAGAACTTGTAGACTGACTCCAACCAGGTTTAATGCCAAAACAATATCAACATTCTCTGTAACATTTAAACAAAACCCAGAGTTGCATAACGTAATATTCAAAATGTCTAGGATATAATCCAAAGTTACTTAGCATACAAGAACCATAAAAATTTCAACCCACACAGTAAAAGAAAATAACAGATGTCAGTGTTGAGATGACACAGATTTTAGAATTATCTGAAAAAGTAGCCATTATTAAAATGTTCTAAATAAGGATGCATACTCTTAGAATGAATGAAGACAGAAAGTCTCAGCAAAGAAACTGAAGATATGAAGAGGTACTAAATGTAAATTTTAGAACTGAAGAATACTATAACCAAAATAAAAAAACTCAATAGATGGGCTCAATAGAATGGAGATGTCAGAGGAAAGTGAACTTCAAGACAGACTGATAGAAATTATGCAATCTGAACGAAGAGAAACGAGAGTTTAAAAATATAGCCCTCAGTAATCTGTGGGGCTGTACCAAAAGTTCTAACACTGGTGTCATTAGAGTTCCAAGGGGAAAACGTGTGTGATGTAGAAAAAAAATATCTGAAGAAATGATGGCTGAAAACTCCCCAAATTTTACAACAGATAAACTTCTAAATTCAAGAAGCTCAGTGAACAACAAGCAGGATAAGCCCTAAGAAATCCATGCCCAGACATTCCATAATTACAACACTGAAAGCAGCCAGTAAAAAATGATGCATTACTTAAGGGAACAAAGATTTGAACAACTGTAAGATTTCTCATCAGAAAGTATGGAGAACAAAAGGAAGTGGATTTTTTAAAGTGCTGCTACAACTGAAACCCAAAATCCCATACCAAATGCCTTTCCATTATCTTGACTGTGTCTTAGGCAGACTGAACATTTTTACTTTTGATGAAGTCCAATTTCTCAACTCTTTCTTTTAGTGATCATGATATTGGTGTCATTTCTAAGAGCTCTTCACCTAACCTCAGGCCATAAAGATTTCCTCTTCTATTTTCTTCTAAAAGTTATTATAGCTTTATGTTTATTTCTAGATCTATAATCCATTTTGAGTTCATCTTTGTGTGAGGTGTGAATTTTACGTTGATGTTCAGTATTTTTTGTATATGGCTAATCAATTTTCCAACACTATTTGTTGAAATACTATCCATTTGTATCTTTGTCAACGATCAAATGGCCATATTTGTGTGGTCCTATTTCTCCATTCTCTACCTGGTCCACTGATCTATGTATGTACCGTTTTGCCAATATCATACTGTCTGTATTACTATAACTTTATAGTAAGTCCTAAAATCAAGTAGTTGATTCCTCTTTGCTCTTCTTCTTAAAAACTGTTTTCTTAATCCCAGTTCCTTTCTCCACCCATATAAATTTTATAATCAGCTGATATATATGTCTATAAAAATTCCTGCTGGAAATTTTTATTGAAACTGAGTTATATATACAGATTTGTGGGGGGAGAATTGATAGTTTTACTATGTTAAGTCTTATAATCCATCAACACAATATATGTATCTCCATTTCTTAAGATTTTCTTTGGTTTCTTTCATCAATTTGTAGCTTTCAGCACACAGATCTTGTTCATTAGATTTATACCTAAGTATTTCTTTCTGGGGAAGCTATTACAAATGGTATTGTTTTAAAATTTCAGTTTCTGGTTGTTCACTGCTTAAATATAGAAATACAATAGATTTTTATTATTAACCTTATATCCTACAATCTTGCCAAACTTGTTAGTTCTATCGATTTTTTTTCTTTCTTTTTTTTTAAAAAATAATTTTTCTTTATTGATTTTTAGAGAGAGAAGAAAGGAGAGGGAGAGAGAAAAACATCAATGAGAGAGAACATCGACTGGCCGCCTCCTGCATACCCCTCCACTGGGGATCAAGCCCACAACCTGGGCATGTGCCCTGACCGGGAATCGAACCAGTGATCTCCTTGTGCATGACCTCCTCAACCACTGAGCCACATCAGCTGGGCTCTATGGGTTTTTCCTTTGATTCCTTGGGATTTTCTATACAGAAGATAGAGTCATCTGTTGAATAGGGGAAGTTTTTCTTTCTTTCTAATCTATATGCCTTTTAATTCCTTTTGCTGCTATATAGCACAGGCTAAGACTTCGAGACTACATTGACTAAGACTGGTGAGAACAGCCTGGCTGGTGTGGCTCAGTGGTTGAGCGTCTACCCATGCACCAAGAGGTCACCAGTTCGATTCCCGGTCAGGGCACTTGCCCAGGTTGTGGGCCCAATCCCCGGGGGTGAGGGGACATGCAGGAGGCAGCCAATCGATGTTCTCTCTCATCGATGTTTCTATTTCTCTCTCCCTCTCCCTTCTTCTCTCTCTAAAAATCAATAAAGAAAAAAATAAAAGAAAGACTGGTGAGAACAGACCTCCTTGCATTTTTCTTCATCTTAGGGAGAAAGCATTCAATTTTTCTCACACATACACACACTTATTTATATACATATATATTAAAATGTAGGTAAAATAAAGATACTTTTAGACAACTCTGACACAAACCCTATTGCATTACCAACAGACCTATACTAAAAGAAATTCTAAAACACATTTTATAAACATGAAATGCAATGACAGAAATAGTTACAACTTGGTGGGGAGCATTATAGAACAGATGATATCTCAAGGCACTCTCAAAGAATGATTAAAAGCAATCAGAAACAAACAAAAAAAAAACAAAAAACAACAAAACATAAGTTAGAGTTAACTAGGCTTCAGAAAGGGGAGGGTTGTGGAAGACAGGAGAGAAAAGACATTCCAGACAAAGGGAATGGTATGAACAAAAGTACAGAGGGAAAATCTGGACTTTAACAATGAACAAAGGAACCACTAAAGGATTTAAAATGAGACAGTTTATGCTCAAAATTGTGGGCAGCTTCTCATTTAAGTGTCAGAGGTAATTTCAAGTGGAGGTACAGTAGTCCCTCTTATTTGTGGGGAATATGTTCCACGACCCCCAGTGGGTGCCTGAAACCATAGATAGTACTGAACCCTATATATACTATGTTTTTTCCTATACATACATATCTTTTCACTTAAAAGGAAGCACTTTTTGTTTCCTATTTGGCCTATCTGAATGACCAGCATCACTACTCTTGCACTTGTGGGTCATTATTAAGTAAAATAAGGGTTGTCTGAACACAAGCACTGAGATATAACAATTGCTCTGGTAACTGAAATGGCTACTAAGTGATTGACAAGTGGGTAGCATACACAGTGTGAATATGCTAGACAAAGGAATAATTCATGTCCCAGGTGGGATGGAACAGGACAGCACAAGATTTCATCACACACCTCAGAATGGGGCACAATTTGAAACTTATACATTGCTTATTTATGAAATTTTCCATTTAACACATTCAGACTGTGGTTGACTGCAGGTAACTGAGAAAGCAGAAAGTGAAACAGCAAATAAGGAGGAACTACTGAATAGATATTTGTTTGTAGTTTGGGGCTAGAATGTGCAGGGAAGGAAACAAAGCCAGGAGCCAACAGTTGACAAAGAGTAAATTGAAATAAATCTTCAAAAGGTACTAAATATTTCTATGAAAATGAAACATGAGTAGTTTATAAGTGAAAAAGAATGTAAGAGTGAGATGAGGAGATGATGGAGATTGGAGTTCATGCATGGAATCCTATATCCTTACAAGTTCATACGTTAAAGAAAAAAATTTTAATTGATTTTAGAGAGAGGAAAGGAAAGAGACAGAGAAACATCAATTTGTTGTTCCATTTTTCATGCAGTGATTGGTTGACTCTTGTATGTGCCCTGACAGGAGATCAAACCTACAACCTTGGCATATTAGGACGATGCTCTGGCCAACTGAGCTACCTACCCAGAGAGGGCCGAGTTAATTCTTTAATTCCAGGGTAAGATGTTGTATGTAAAGGACTGATAAACATCTACAGTGTAAAGGGCTTTGTGACAATTCTTTTGGTATAGATTCTATACCTTACCTTCATTTGTGTTTCTAATGGTGTTTGTGCCAAGAAAGGAGGTTGTCCCACCAACATTTCAAAAAGAATTACACCAACACTCCACCAGTCACATAACTGTGTATAGCCTAAAATATGATAGCAAAGTTATAGTTATTTGTAAGTATTTTAAAAAGTGTCCAGAATTAATACAGTCATAATTAATATTAAATCACCAATTTATACTATAAAATTAACTTTTATTATAAACCTAAAAATAAGCTATATTATAATGAAGTCTCAGCTGGAGATTATTTATAAAACAAATATTTTACCTGTTCGTAATAACACTTCAGGGGCGATATAATTGGGAGTCCCAACCAAAGAATGTGCTAGACATCGCTGGTGCTGGCGTGCAGCTCTCCGTTCTAGTGGCTTCAGTCTATCTCCACATCTACAGTTAGAGGGGTCACCCCATTCATTACTGAAATCCATGCTATCTTGCCGTGGATGGTCGCCTGTAAAGTAAAAAAAAAAAAGGGAATAAAAGCAACAAGAACGAGAGTAAACCTAGAGTCCAACTTTTTGACATCATGGTTTAGAGTTAACAACACTCTCTTCTTACAACAAGCTAGGATGCAATGTATACCAAATCACTGATGATGTTTATTAATAACTGGAACCTGTAAGCTGAGATATTAATAGGACAAGTTTTACACTAAGAAAAATTAACCCAAGATTCAACGATGTATTCAACGTTAAATGATGACAAAATCAGGAGTAGGTAGGATTAACAATGTTATTCAGACTGCTCCACATTACTACTCTGAACAAAGCTGCAAACAAGTTAGATCAATGTTTTATTCATTCAACAAGTGACAATGATAAATAAGGACAGGGTTGTTCTCTCATGCAGCTTCTCTGTGCATAAAAAACACAACAAACAAATACATATGTTAAAAACATAGTGATGCATTCAATGTTAAGAATCAACTGGGGTGATGTGACTAATTGAGGTGACATTTGTAAAAAACAAACGGAAATCAATTATTTGAAAACTAGGGCAAAGCAGTCTATACAGAAACAACAGTAACAGAGAAAACCAGTGTGGTTAGAAAAGAGAATGGCAGGAAATGGAGTGGGAGCCAGTACACATGGATTTTGTAAGCAAAAGACATGGTTTATCTTTCACTCCAACTACAATGGGAAGACACTGGAGAGTTTGAAGCAAGAAAATGACAAGATTTTATTTATGTTTAAACAGATTATAAGAGAGGACAAAAGTAAAGAGACCTGTGAAGAGGCTATTACAGTTAAGCTTGAACTATGATGGTATTAGTGGTGATGGAGAAAAGCAAACAGATTCAGGATATGTTTAGAGGTGGAGTAAGCAAGACTTACTGATAGATTACACGTAGAAGGTATGGGGGAAAAGAATCAAGGATAACTAGGTGGGTGGTGGTGGGATAATTTACTAAACTGGGGAAGACTAGAGGGGAAATATATATAGAGGGGGAGAAATTAAAAGTTGTTTATTGGTAATGTTAAGTTCAAAAGGCCGATTATAAATCCACGTGAAAGGGAGATGCCATTTCTGAAGAGATTGGGACGTCACCGACACAGAGTTGGTGTTTAAAGCCATGACTAGATGAAATCACCTAGAATATATCTAAAATTAACCTAGCTGTAATCATCTGGGATGTTTGATAAAAATATAATTTCTACTCTCCAATGAAGATTTTCAACCAGTAAACTGAAATAGAGCCTAGAAATCATATTTCTAAGAAGAACCCCAACTAATTCAGGTGAATCTGGGAGATATTACATTAAACTGAACATTAAAGTAGGTTCATGTGTCTCAGTTCTATCCATTTACTGTCAATCTACTCGTGTTTACAGAAGGCTAATAATACTTACCTCAGAGGATTGCTGTAAGCATTAAATTAGAATATATGTAAAGCACCTAGTCATAGTAAGTATTCAACAAATGTCAGATTGACTTACACTTCCATTAGCGCTGGAAGGGATCTTGGTGAAGCACTGTGGTGTAGTAGAAATAACATGGGCCCTGTAATCAGACAAACCTAGGTTCAAAGCTTAGCCCTTACACCTATTTTCTGTCTGACCTCGGGCAAGTTATCTAACTAAGCCTTCGTTTCTTTATTCTGCCTTATAATGACTTTGTGAGGATTAAACAGAATCATGTACATCATGTATTTAAGATTAAATCAATTGTGTAATAGTCATACATCAGAATCCTAAATAATGGTGAAAATAAATGTTACGTGCAATTAACACAGATGAACTTCAAACATAAAAGTCAACATAGAAGAATACATACAGAATGATTACATTTAAATAAAGATTCCAGAGTAGGCAAAATGAAATAATATAGTGTTTAGGAATATATACATATATGGCAAAAATATAAAGAAAAGTAAAGAACTGATTACCAAGTTCTGAAATGATGATTACCTCTGTAGAGGAAAGAAAGAGAATTAATTGTTTAGGGCTTTCTAAAGTACTAACAGTCCAAAAAAGAAGAAGAAGAAAAAAAAAGTAATGAGAGTCCAGTTCTTAAGTAGAATGGAGGGTATGTGGCTTCATTTAAAATTTATTTTTATAATTTATTTGTCTGACATATTTCAAAAATAACAAAACATAAAGTGGTTAACTCAAAAACGTTAAAATATTTAGAAATAACTGAATCTAATACTCTTTCATTTTATAACTCTAAATATCTTCAGGAGTCAGCCATAGTTATCCAACAGAGTCAATATCTGACCCAGGACTTCTGGGTCCCATCCAGTGATAATACCAATCTTATATTTTACTGCATTAATAAGTCATATTAATATGTACACATTTTATTATTTTACTCACCACTCTGGTAGTACTTAGAATCATGTGTCCACCTGAAGCCAGTGCAGAGGCCGAAGTCAGTCAATTTAATATGACCATCACGGTCAATCAAAATATTATCAGGTTTAATATCTCTATGAATAAAACCCATTTTATGAACACTTTCAACTGCACAAGTAAGTTCTGCTATGTAGAATCGTGCCAGATTTTCTGGAAAGATGCCCATTCTAATTAGTAGGCTCATCATATCACCCCCAGGAATGTAGTCCATTACAAAGTATAAATTGTCCTTATCTTGGAATGAATAATATAGACGAACTACCCATTCGTTGTCAGCTTCAGCCAGGATATCTCTCTCAGCTTTAACATGAGCGACCTGATTTCGAAGCAGAACATCTTTCTTTCGAAGAGTTTTTGTTGCATACAATGCCTTAGTATCTACTTTTCTTGCTAGACAGACTTCACCAAATGCTCCTATTCCTAGTGTCTTTATCTTCACAAACATAGACTTGTCCATTTTAGCCCTCTTAAGACGGATGTAATTAGACTCTTTTTGGCAAAGCATCTTTCTCATTTGATCCTGGGCATCTTGAGATAATCCAACCTAGGCAAATAAGCTAAATGTTAAATGAGGAATTCTTTTCTATACAAAATATTAAGAAATAGCTTGGAAAAATTCAGGCATATATTTAAAGTTAAATGCATAATAATTTTTAATAAAGCATGTTAGAAATCTAAAAGATATTTCAGAGAAAATTAATTATCAAAAGTGCAGCTTAAGAGATAGTTAAGAGGATGTATAAGGTGAGTATATATGCAGATTCTGCTGTGGAGAGCAAGAAGATATCAATGATCAGCTTTCTACTCCTCTCTAATGCACTCAAAAAAAAAAAATGTTCCCAATAGGCAATAACCAAACCTCTGTTCACATGCATCCTCATCTATCCCTCCATGCACATTACTTCCAAATTACATGATTAGATTGCCTTCATTATATGATTCTCTTTGTAAAATACCTAAGCCTCAAATATTCTTCCTCCCATTTTACCCTTCATGAAGTTATTTCATATCTAGTTCATTTACTCTAAAAAAATGATGTATCAAGAACAGAAGAATATCTTCTATAACCTAACTACTCATTAATAGTCAGTCTTTCCTTTTACCTTTCTCAAGGCATTAGAATAAGGGTAGGAATGAGAGCCATCACTAAAACAAAATACAAAAGGATATTCCTACCTTATTTAAAAGGAAGAACTTGTGTGATTACAGGGTATCTTTTAGATATTTTGGAACATTTCAAAGAATAGTCAATGTGACTTATGAAGATACCAAAATACAGACAAAAACTAAAACCAACTTCTAACTAGACATGAAATACCTGGATTTATAAGGAAGGAACAATTTATTTTTGGCTAGCTAATAACTAATTTAAGAGTTAAAATAGGATAGGAATCTGATTTGAAAAGTAAAGTCTAATTCTAGAAATGCAAAACTAATTAAAATACAGCAACCTCATGCTTCTGTTAGGATATGCATTTGCATGCAAAATCTTTTAAGAAGGGTGGCATGCCAGACTTAGTATAGAACTGTTTCTCTTAAAATCTTACTTGCCTACACAGTAATGGAGGCTACAGAAGTCAGCAAAGCTTCCAACACCATAAAAGTTTAAATCAGCTATTAGTGAAAGTGAAGAGGAAAAAGGAAAAATAAACTAAGAAAATACATACAGACAGCTTTAGGAAGAAATTCTGAGAGCTAAAATATGGATAAGTCATACAGATTATCATGGTATTTATCTAACAAAATGCAATTTATAGCAGGAAAAACAACACTGTGAAATCAGATTTAGAGAAATAATTTTAAAAGAATGACTTTCTTGAATTGTATGAGAAAATTTCATCACAAATTTAAGCCTCTTGGATTTTGAGTGATAGATGTAAGTCAAACCTTTGAACTGTAAGCACATGATAAAAATAATAATGACAGTACCATTATATATAGTGAAGAGATCTATATGGAATGACAACAGAGATTAAACTTATTCTGATCTCCTTTTAAGTGGACTTTGATTTAATAATTTCAGCACACTTTTCCAGTACATTATAAAAATGAAATTAGTCCAGCCAGTGTGGCTCAGTGGTTGAGCATTAACCCATGTGCCAAGAGGTCGCCGGTTCAATTCCCGGTCAGGACACATGCCCAGGTTGTGGACCTGATCCCCAGTGGGGGTCATGCAGGAGGCAGCCAAACGATGTTTTCTCCCATCAATGTTTCCATCTCTCCCTCTTTTTCACTTCCTCTCAGTCTAAAAAAAAATCAATAAAGGAAAAAAAAAACTTTAATGAAATTAGATGGATAAATAACTGAAGGAAGATGTCTCATTCTTTCAAATAAGACCAACCTGATGAATAAACCCACAAGCTCAAAATTACTAAGTAAAACTAAATGTTTCACAAACGTTATCAAGAGAAGACACCTAGATAATTTTAGCTCATTTTAACATGTTGTAAGATAACATGTAAAACCTAAAATATAACCTTTGATACAATTTCCATATAAAGGGATTATGTGCACCTCAACCAAAAATTATATTTTTTTCTTAATTTACTAGAAGAAATTTATTATGGGAAGTCTGAATAAATCTTGAAATACTAAAATAAAATGCTATAATCAAAATACTTCAATATTTACTGACTTTTACATAATTGACAAGATATTTAACTACAAAAAGAATAATGTTGGACCACACCCACAATATTTTAAAATAAACACCAAGCAAACAGACAACCAAGTATAAAAACGGACATTTTAAAAGGCTTTACCCGCATCATTTCATTCTCTAATTGCTTTTTACGATGTAGACGCTGCTGATGTGATTTGAGAACATTTTCTACATGTTGCTCCATAAAGAACTTAAATGCCTGAGGAGAGTAACTTTGAATACGAGATTCCCTTCGCTCTTCATCTTTCTTGTTTTTCCTAACAGTAATAGGTGAAGTTGTAATCTGTTTCTTTTCTTTATCCCCACTATCAACATTTTCATAACTTTTTTCACCCTCATCTTCCTTGGGCATGTTCGGCTGATCCTCTTTGTTAGATTTATTGATTGATTCATATGGAGGAACAGATGGGTTTTGGTGTAGTAGATGTTTCGGATAAGGTGGTGGTGGACCTTGATAGTTTGGAGCTTCGGCAACAGGTGGCATTACAGTCATATTTGAGGTGGTGCCCTCAGAAAAAGGACTAGGTTGAACAGTTTGAATTGGCTGTGGCATCCAAGAAGGGTGAGTAGGTGCTAAAGCAGTCTGTAGCTCTGGTTTTAACACGCGTATGCTTTTCACGGGTTGTTGAATTGGAGCTGGTGTGATAGCAGTAACTGTTGTAGCTGAAGGCTGAGAATTAGCAGAATGACTTGTTCTATTTCCTAATGGGTTATTAAAAGAATTTGACCTCACTGGTATGTTAGGTTGCCATGTAGGGATTTCATGCGTGGTGCTTGGGGATGACTGGGCTGGAGCGGAAGATGACTGAGGCCAAGTTGTTTGCAGTCCAGGTACACTAATGTTATAAAGATCCATGTTATGACTATTTCTATTTGGCACCATCATAGACTGAGGAATATTTCCATTTGTATATGATGAAGAAGCAGCAGATCCTGTTTGTAAAGCAGAAGGGCTCTGTCCATTAGTTGCAGTAAGAGGATATGGAGGGGGTGGCTGACGATTCACTGCACCAGCAGGGACATTTTGGTGTATCATAAAATCATTTTGACCACTACCATTCTGAATTCCAGGTCTCCCTGGTGCAAAGTTAAATTTGTTAGAACTCTGCATGATGATTGGTTGTCTGCCAACAGGAACAGAACTAATGCCTCTCTGTCCCTGATTAGGAGGATTCATTGGGGCTGTGTTCAGAGGTGGAGGATAGCCTTCTTGCCAGGCTCCAGGTGGAACGGGAGAGATTCGGGAAATTACGAATTCCATATTCCCAGAATAGCGCTTTGTTTGAGAGTTTGGTTCCCATGATGGGGGAGGTGGAGTTGTACCTCTTGGAGGAGGAGTCTGGCCTCTTGGGGGTGGTGGAGGAGTGACACTCCTTACTTGAGGAGGTGGTGGGGGGTTCACTCTCTGTCCATTGTTAGGGTGAACTTGCGCAAATGCTGTTATACCAGATCCTGACAAAGGTTTGCCTATGTCTGTCTGTGAGCTGGGACTTTCCGAACGATAGGTCGCACTTTCCCCTAGTGGTGGGCCATGTCTCTGAGGAACTAGAGATTCTTTAGAACCTTTCCAGCTTTGTCTGCGATTAACTGATTGTTGCACACTCCCTATGATCATAAAACAGAGAAAAAACATTTTAAACTTTTTGAAAATTTTAGCTTGGAATTCTGACACTACTGTGGTAATTCTCTTCCAAGAATTATAAAAATCAAATTTCAGTAAGTGGTTTTATTTTGCCTTCTAAATTTTTTTATTTTATTTTTGACTAGGTAATACATTCTCACAACTCAAAACTCAAAAGTTACAGAAGAACACCCATCTCTGTCTTTTAGTCAACCAGTTTCCTTCCTTGAAGGTAACCAATCTCATCAGTAAAATATTTTAGGGATATATAAATAAATAGTATACTTCCTATACATACTATTGGGTCTTATTCTTTTCATTAAAAAATTAAAGATTCTGTATCAGTATATGAAGTGTTTCCTCAATTTTAAAAAATGTTACCATAGTTTTTCACTGTACAGATTTATTTAATCAGTTCCCCTAGTGATGAATATTAAGGTTGTTTCTAATCTTTTGCTTTACAAATAAAAAAGCAATGAAAAAATTTCATTTCATAAATTATTAGAAATGTCATTAGTGAACCAAACATGTCCATTTGTAATTTTGTTAGATACAACTAATTTAAATATATTTCAACGTGGCATTTAAAACAAAAAAGACAGCAGGGCATTATTACCTGAACACGAAATAAGGTATAAATTTTACAGAATCTCTCTCTCTCTCTCTTTTTTTTTGGTTAATCCTCACCTGAGGATATTTTTCCATTGATTTTTTTAGAGAGTGGAAGGGTGGGAGGGAGGAGGGCGGAGGGCGGGAAGAGAGAGACACACATTGATTGGTTGCTTCTTGAATGACCCTGACCAGGATCAGGGATTGAACCTGCAATCCAGGTACATGCCCTTAACTGAGAATCAAACCCAAGACCCTTTGGTCCACAGGTCCATGCTCTAACCACACTGGCCAAGGCTAGAATCTCTCTTTAATAGAATTTCCAAATAAATCAAATAGGCAAAAAAATAACAAGATCCAAGAAAAAAATGTACTTAAAGTAAGTTTGGCCACTTGGAAAAAGATGTATAATACATCATATATGTGTGTGTGTGTGTGTATACACACATACATATACATATATGTGTGTGTGTGTATATATATACACATTTGTATAAAAAATTATATAAATTAATACATTCCATAAAGATTAAACATTTAAGTGTTAAAGATGAAACCATACAAGTACTAGGGAAAAACAAGTGATCACTGAATAATATTGGGGCACCTCTTTGGAAGGTCTTCCCAAGTATAAAAGGTAAAGAACACTCAGTAAAATACTAACAACTCTAAATACATAAAACACTTATCACCATCAAAATAAAACAAACAGAAACACCTACAAATTTGAAAGGTCATCATCATCTTCCTGGGAGAAAACACATCTAGTTACATATATGAGAAAAAAGTAGTAACTGTTCAGAATGTACAGTTTAACACTACATTTCATCTAGGCTGGCCAGCACCTTGGGTGTATGACTTCAGGGGATGTCATCACTCTGGGGAAACTATACAAGTCTTCTGGCCACCTCCCTAAGATAGTCAGCTGAGGCTAAATATATCATGTGACTCACAAAACTTTTACCTGTTAAAATGTGAGACACTGCAACCCTAAAGCAGACTGCCATCCCTGTTGTTCTGTACCTCCAATAAAGCTCTGTGTTCTCCCACCTCCTGAACCCCATCACAACTGCCCACTGCTTTATAACTAGCAAATGCTCCTGGATTACTAACCTCTGCTCCAAGCTTTCCCACCACCTCCTTACAGCTGGTTATCTTCTGCTGACATTACTTTCCTTTCAGCCCTTTGCAGTCAAGGTTATCTTTAAAAATAAATTGGCTCGCCCTGGCCAGTTTGCCTCAACGGTTAGAGCGTCGGCCCGTGGACCAGAGTGTCATGGGTTAGGTTCCTGCTAAGGGCATGTACTTCGGTTGCAGTTTGTCCTCGGCCCCGGTTGGGGTCGTGTGGGTGGCAGCCACTCCATGTGTCTCTCTCACATGAATATGTGTGTCTCTCTCTCTCCCTACCACTCACTCTCCTGCTCTATCTGAAGATAAATGCAAAAAGAAAAAAAAAAAGTCCTCGGGTGAGGATTAAAAAAAATAAAAATAAAAATGAATTGGCTCAAATGTGGGATTCTACCTCTTTGCTCTTCATTTATGCTTCCAGATCATTGCTTTCCTTCATATTCTTTTTTTCAAAGCCAGCTCTTTGGAAATTCATTCTATCTGGGAGGCTGTGTTCATTTTTCTTACCTAATGAACTCTTGCTTGCTTCCCCTCCATCACCTGTAACTTTGGTCTACCCTAAGCCTTGCCGACATTCTATAACTCCAACATCCATATGGAGAAAACATCCATAGACCTCACTTCCACCTCAAATATCTCTCACAAGATCACATTTCTAATTTTGATACCGTCCATATCTATTTCTTTCTCAAAATCACTAATTTAAGGTTTATATGCTTATAGACTTCTTTCTCATGTTTACTCCTACTGCAAATGGTCTTGAACCTCATCAAGACCTAGTCATCCTCTTCATCCTCTACTTCATCAGTCCCCTTCTTTTTTTTTCTTCTTTAATTGACTTTTTAGAGGGAGGAAGAGAGAGACAGAAACATCGACGAGAGAGAAACGATTGGCTGCCTCTTGCACACCCCCTACTGGGGACTGAGCCTGAAACCCGGGCATGTTCCCCGACCAGGGATCAACCCAGGACCTCTCAGTCCATGGGACGATGCTCGATCCACTGAGCCACACTGGCTGGGCAGTCCCCCTCTTTTCTTTATGGCATACTTTAACCAATTTAAATCCATGGTACATCACTTCTTTCCTCCCTCTGTATTCCCTTTCTCCTTTCCTCATTTCTATTAATTCATTAAATATTTACTGAGCACCTATAAGCCAGGCACTGCCTTAAGCAATTCAAGTACACTAGTGAACGAGATAACATCCCAGGCCCCATGGAACCTACATTCTCAATGGAGAAGAATGACAATAAACAATTAAATAAACAAGGTAACATCTGGGTATGATAAATGCTATATGAAGGAAATATAAATGGTGTCAATAGAGAGTAACAAGAAGATAGCATGGCTGAGCCAAGGGTCAGAAAAGGCCTCACCAAGGACATGACATGATCTAAGACTGAGCAAACGTCCTGAGATGGGAGCCTACTTTTTCCAAGAACACAAAATACAGTATGGCTGGAAAGCAGTAAGTGAGAATAGTGACAATAGATGAAGTATGAGAGTAACACAGCCATAGAGAGGAGTTTGGAAGGAATGAGAAGCCACTAAAGACAGAGAAAGAATATGCTCTGATTAAGGTTTTAATTTACCCTTTAGGCAATATTCTGAACTCCCTCTACCTCTCTTTCTTATTTTGTACTTGCTTAGTAAAGCTCCAGTTATGAATGATTCCTGCTAGAGAAGGTGATGTAAAGAGCAGACTGATTCCACCATAAATTCAAGATCAGCATCATCAAATAAATGGCCTCAACATCGCCAGAAAATTCTACTGTTTCCTTTGGTCTCCACTATGACTCTTGCCAGTCTCCTCCTCAAACTGCCTGCCCCACTCCTCACCCATCACTCTTAGCAGATGACTTGATTTTCTCCTTCAGAGAAAACTGAAAGCAATGGAAAGAATTCCTTTATCTTCCCTATATGACCTAGGCCCATTTGCCCGTTAGAGCAAAATGGTTATTTCTCTTCCTAAGCAAGGCTAATAATAATCTTTCATCCCATGCTTTGGATCCTTTCTTCTCTCTCCTGGCTTCTCAAGAACCTTACTTGATCTTTTCTCTTGAATATTTAATTTCATCCTCTTAACTGGAGTCTTATAATTATCTTTTAAATTTGCCTAAGTCTTTTCCTATTAAAAAATAATAAATAATAAGGCTCTCCCTCCGCTCCCATATAGACCACTCCCTCAAAGTGTTATTTGGTGCTGGTCCACAAACTGATATTGGCCCATAGAAGATAAGTATGGAAGTTGAGAGTAAAAATTTAGACTTACAGAAATTTGACAAAATAATTTTGTCTTTTAAAAGGTGGTAATGAAATATTTGGACTTATATGATATGTCATTTAAATTTTTAGTTTTTTTTTTTTTTTTTTTTATCCTCACCCGAGGACATTTTTCCATTTTTTGTTCAGATAGAGTGGGAGGGAGAGAGAGGAAGAGAGAGAGAAAGAAACATCGATGTGAAGGGACACATCGAGTGGCTGCCACCCGCAAGACCAACCAGGGCCGGGGACAAACTGCAACCGAGGTACGTGCCCTTAACGGGAACTGAACCCGGGTCTCTCAGTACCGCAGGCCGACGCTCCAACCGCTGCGCCAAACCGGCCAGGGCTAAATTTTTAGTTTTTCTAAAAATGCATCAGTATTGTATTTTATAAAATTACCAATCTGTAATAAATTGAAAATTAACAGAAATAAAGATCTTCATCACAGATGAAGCACTACTCCTGCTAATGTCCTTACTTTACTCTCATATAAATATTTCTCAAAGAATTGTCTATACTTGAATTCTTTACTTTATATCCACTTATTCCTCAACTCACACCAATCTGAATTATGCTATGACTGAACAAAAACAAGTTACTCCATATGTTATGAGCTGAACTGTGTCCCCTAAAATTCAGTAAGTTCTAACTCCGAGTACTTCAGTATGTGACTGTATTTGAAGACAGGGCCTTTACAGACGTAATTCAGGTTAAATAAGGTCATAGGGTAAGACTTAATCAAATATGACTGAGGTACTTATAGGAAATCTGGACACAGAGAAAGGCACCAGACACATGTGCATGCAGAGGGACAACCATGTGAAGACCCAATGAGGATGGTCATCTGAAAGCCATGGAGGAAGAAACCACATCTACTGTCTCCTTGATCTCAAGACTTCTGGCCTCCAGAACTATGAAAGAATAAATCTGTTATTTAAGCCACCCAGTCTTTGTTTTTTTTTTAAACTGGAGGGATAACTTGAGTTAAACTTTTTCTTTTAAAAATTTTTTTCTTTATTGATTTTAGAGAGAGAGGAAAGGAGAGAGAGAGATAGAAACATCGATGAGAAAGAACATTGACTGGCTGCCTCCTGCATGCCCCTTACCGAGGATCTGGCCCACAACCTGGGCATGTGCCCTGACCAGGAATTGAACTGGCAACCTCTTAGTGCATGGGTTGACGCTCAACCACTGAGCCACACCAGCCGGGCCAGTCTTTGGTATTTTTTATAACAGCCCTAGCAAACTAATTAATGTACCATGTCACTAAAGCCAACAAAATACTTTCTAGTTTCACCTTGGTCAACCTCTTTCCCTTTATTCCTTCCTCTTCTTTAACATTCTCTTCCATAGAGTTTCAAGACACTAGAAACTATATTGGTTTTTTAACTTCATAAGCTAAATTTTCTGTTTTCTTTGCAGGCTTATCCTCTTCTATCAGCTACAAAGCAATTAGCTTGGTTCTCGTCCATCTTTTCATTTTTGTCTATGTTACCTCCTTTAGATCTATTTCATATGCAAGGCTAATACAAGAACTGTACATATCTAGCTAGCTTCCTACTTGACATCTATCTTCATTTGGATAACTCAGTGAACCTAATTCAAACTCATGTTTACAACCAGAACTACCACCCAAATCCTGTTCTCTCTTAGTATTCTCTTTCATAATGTGGTGTATCACCAGCCGTTTTCTACACCAAATAAGTCATCCCTCTACAGTATCATCACCCATATGTAACCTATTGCCAAGTCCTTGTCAATTTTACTTTTTGCATCTCTCCTAATTCATTCACTTTTCTCCACTGCCATCACCAGTCCAGATTACCTTCCTTTCCTGTGAGTAGTATTTATCAAGTCTATTCAGATACTATCCCTTGCTCTCTCTAATCTGTTATTCATCCCCTCCAGCCACCTTTTAAAAACACAAATCTTATCTTGTCATCACCCTGCTTGAAATGTTTCCATAACTTCCTGCTGCTCTTTGGATAAAATCAATAGAGTCCCCTCCTGCCTAGTCCGGTTCCTATCGCATACTTTTGTTTTCCGTGCTCCAGCCACTTTCATTTCTTTGAATGTGGTATCAAAACCTGCCAAACAGGCCAAGCACAAGGACACTCTCCCTCACTAAACCTATGCCTTTGTCTTTGTTCAGATAGCAGCTCTATTATTAGTTTCACAGGAAGGTTTTCTCTGATCTCCTTGATTAGGTAAAAAAAAAAAATTCCTCTATTATATGAATCCACAGTACCATGTAACTCTCCCCTCTTCATTCACACTTATATAGTTATAATTCTATATGTATTTGTGTATTGGATTTTCCTTACTAGAATGTCAGCTCCACAAAAGGGCAAGAACTTTATACTCAATGCAAAAGTGGTTGATTAATAAAAATCTGAATGAAAGGAAAAATGAATAAATAAGGCCTCTTGAAATTAATAAAAAATACAAGATTAACAAAGAATTAAAACGTCAATTCAAAACTAACCTATAAATAATGTAAAATGAGATAGTATTTCTACAGCCATTAAATATATAAAAATGATAATATCTAGGATTTATAAATATAGGCATTCTCATATTAATCTGATTGGGAGAATAAAAGCTGGTAATACCTTTCTGATAGCAAAATCTAAGAGAAACCTTAGAATTTTGCATGTCTTTTAAAATATAACAAAATCATCAGGAATGTACAAATATTTAGGTACAAGGGTATTTACAGCAAGACTGTCTATAATGGAAAAAAAGGGAAACAAGACAAACGTCAAAAATGAGAGACTTCTTAAATAAAGTATGTGATGAATCTATTTTCATGTTGCTATTAAAATAATTCCACTTAATAACAAGGAAAGTTATACATGGTAAATTAAGTGAATGAAGTAGGTTTTAGTATGACTCATTTTTTGCTTAAACAAAAGAATCAAACTACACACATATAAACACACTCAGGTTTTCCACAGGAAAAAAAGATTGAAAAAAAAAAAAACCACACCAAAATCTTGTGGTTATAAATAGTGTTTTCTTTTTGCTTATTACTTTCTAAACATTCTATAATAAACATGTTTTTACTCTTATAATAAAAAATAGTATGAATGATATTTGTGATTAAAAAGAAATCTTTCAGGCCCTGGCCAGTTTGGCACAATGGTTAGAACGTCAGCCCAAGGACTGAAGGGTCACAGGTTCAACTCCTGGCCCCAGTTGGGGTCATGCGACAGACAACCAATTGATGTCTCTCTCTCACATTGATGTTTCTCTCCCGCCCCCCCAGCTCCGCTTTCCCTCACTCCCTGAAAAAAAAAAATCAATGGAAAAATATTCTCGGGTAAGGGTTAACAAAATAATTTTTTTTAAAAAAGAAATATTTCAGTTGCAATATAACCAATCAAGTAGTTCTCAATGTAGACTGCTGCCTATCAGAATTACCTATGGAACTTTAGGGCCCATCCTCTAATATAGTGTAATACTGTAACGATTTGATCCTAATTTGAGACTTTCATTTACTATGATGCTTTTATCAAATTCTGAGACTAAAGATTTGATATATTTTAAAACAATGCTATAAAATAAGAGAGTAGGGAAAAAGTTTGGTTAATCACCTGGTTTCAAACTGGCATTAATAGGTCTGGCAGCTGCTGTAACCATCTGTTCCCGTCGTGGATCTTGGTAACTCATTTTGCTAATGAATTCAATTGCAGCTTCTATACTTCTGTTATTAGTTTTCTGAAGAGCTTGTATAACCATATCCTGATATGAAATTTGAAGAAAGAAAAAAAATTTAAATCTTATAATTTATAACAGGGAAAGAGCACTGTGAGTACCACTAAAAAATCAGTAATTAATAAAGAACAGGCCCTAAACCATAATATTCATGTCCTGTTTATAAAACTGCTATAAAAATCCATACATTCTCAAATTACTAAAGAAAACAATACAAACCCTCAAATCCTTCAACTATTTAATATTTTCACTTCTATGTAGCTTATTAATTTTTCTTCAAGAATTAACTTCTTCTAGGTATGATCATAGCAATATTCTAATTATTTCTCATTCTTAATTTCATTCTTATATGAACAGAGACTACCAGATTGTTTAAAAAAAGGTACCATTCAAAACACTGAAAACCACTCTTTTGTACTGTTAACGCATTTTATTAAGCACCTTTGCCATTGTGTTTACTAGTAAAAAGCTATGTAGTTCTGGTTCCTATCCTCCTCGAGCTTACATTTTCAGAGAACTTTATTTACAAGGACATAAATATAGGACAAGTGATAGAAGAAAAACACTCACACTATATACGATTACGTGATGAAGACTTTAGGAGGCTAGATAGTACAATGGAAAAAGCAGAGTTTGAAATAGAACAGAACTGAGTTTGAGTTCCAGCAGCCCCACATTACTTTGCTTTTGCTTTTACTGCTCAGAAGCAAAAATACACTCCAGTGATTGTGGATTTATGTGTCCCACTTTAGAACTATGTGAACTTTGGCAAGTTATTTAACATTTCAGACTCAATTTCTTCATCTGTGATAGACTCACAGAGCTGATGTGAGGATTAAATAAGAAAACATGTAAAAGCACATAAGCAAAATGCTAGGAGCTCGGATGTGGGTTTTCTTTTGCTCTGCTCCTTGCCCTATATGTTATATGTAAACATAAATTATACACTAACATGCAGAAACTAAACTGATATGCATTTTTCAAGAAGCAGGCAGCTAATTACTTATCCTAGAGAATTTAGTATTTCAAACAATATTTTAAAATGAGAAATGGCTTAATATGACTAATGGGTAAATGGGTTACTGATAGGTGATCTTCCTATATGAAATGACTGGAGATGAGTATGCAACTAACCAAAAAAAGATTGTGGCAGAGACTTGTTGCCCACTAAGATCCATTCTCCCTTTGTTGGAAAAAGTTACAGAGCAGATAGAAGTTGTTTTCCTTCTAGCTACACTGGCCGCATGATAAATCTGACCAATGAGACAAAAGCAAGGATTTCTGGAAGAATGCTGTTATCCCTACTTTAGGTACTGGTCCTTCCTATGTCCTGAATAGATATGCTACCTGTTCTAGAGCAGGTTGCCACCAAGAAGGAAAATTCAAGAAACTCCCAAGAGTGACTAGTTCTAAATCTTTAAGAGACATCTGAACTAATGCTAGCTATATAAATTGAGTCACTATTTTGTTTAAAGTATTATTTGGATTTTTGTTAAAACAACCAAACCCAATCTTTAAAAAAAATTTTTTTCCTTTTCTTTATTGATAATAGAGAGAGAGGAAAGGAGAGGGAGATAGAAACAGCCATGAGAGAGAACACTGATTGAACTGCCAACTTCTTCGTGCATGGGTCAATTCTCAACCACACCAGCTGGGCCCAAACCCAATTTTTAACTTAAGTATTGGTCACATTTTATGCCAATCAGACTTTGCAAATTTGTAGTAAAATACAAAGGAATTAATAAGTCTCACATTATATACTAATTTAAAATAATACAAATCACCCCAAATTCATCAGGGAGTGCTTAACTTTAAAACTGGTTAAGTCAAGTGAACTGTAACTATATCTATGCTATTATCACAGGGCAGTGCCATCTCTATTGGTAAGAAAGCTGGCACCCACCATCCTTTTTCAATATTGTGAGAACTATATTCTTAAATGCACCAGAATTTCAGCCTGTGATGCTAGCGATAATTATGCTGGCTTTTATTTTTTAATATACAAGGTGGTTTACAGTTGTTCATATGGAAAATAATAAAATAATTAATAAATAATAATATAAGAATAAACTCTGGCCCTGGCTGGTTTGGTTCAGCGGTTAGAGCGTCAGCATGCAGTCCAGAGAGACCTGGGTTCGGTTCCAGCTAAGGGCATGTACCTCGGTTGCAGCTTGTCCCCGGCTCTGGTTGGGTTGTGTGGGTGGCAACCACTCGATGTGTCCATTTCATGTCGATGTCTCTCTCTCTCTCTCTCTCTCTCTCTCTCTCTCTCTCTCTTCCCCTCTCTCCCTCCCACTCTATCTGAACAAAAAATGAAAAAATGTCCTTGGGTGAGGATAAAAAAAAAAAAAGAATAAACTCTGTTTCACGTACTCACAACTGTAAACCTACTTTTGCCCCACCCCGTATATGTCAAAATATTTTTACATCAGTGACAATATCAACCAAGTGTTCCTTAAGTGGGGGTATTTGTGCCAGTGTGAAAAAAGAGCACCCTCAAATCAGTAACACTGGAATAAAAGTCTTACGTGATAAGAAAACATGTCCACATTACTACGCTTTTGCTTTTCATGCTTAGAAGCAAAAATACATACACTCCAGTGATTGCAGATTTACATGTCCCAAGAATATATCAATCCTATTTAACATTTATTCCTATGAGGAAATTAATCTTGAAATACTTGAGAGCTTTTAATTTTACAGAGTACCAGAAACATATTCTCAAAAAACTGCAATTGCCCTGAACTTGGAATAGCTAAAAGAATAGAGCTTATGAAATGATAAAAATAATGAAGTGAAAACTGGTAAGATTTTTGAAGTGCCAAGCTAAGATCCTGAATAAATCCTGTAATATAATAGGAAGTTATCAGAATCATGATTCAAGGAGGCAGAAGTAAACTGCCATATTCTTTATATCACCATGGGTATAAATAATACTATACATTCATTATTTGGACAAAGGAGGATTGATAAATATCTAACTGCTTTTAGTAAAGCAACCTTGCTTAAGGGGTTATTAATGTCATAAGGTGACAATTTTGAAAAGTGTGATTATAATAAAGCTAAAATATTTTTGTAATGCAAAGCAATTATTATTACCAACAGATAAAAAAACAGGGTATTGACCAACCTTAGATTTCTTAAAATAGTCTACACTAGAAATAATTTTTAAGTTCTTAAAGGTATGAAACATGTTTGGTAGACTTACTACCCTCACTGATGGGTTCACATATAAACAACGACCTAACTTATCTGACATAACACCTTACCACTTAAGGACCTTTAGAGCCATGTAATTTTCTAAACTCTCCCTAGCAATAAATAAAAAGAATATGAGCAATGATTCAGCTGTATCTTTATTCTTTGCCTTTTGGTTAAGAGATTAGGAAGAAAGTAGAGTACTCTGGAGAATCTCCATTCAAGCCATTTCCTGAATCCTCCACCTACTAACAAGAAAACATCTGGTGCAAACTCAGTATTTTTAGAACACTTATGCATAAAAATGATAGGAGATAATATTAATCAAATGGACAAATCAAATGGGCCTAAAAGGCCCTGGCCGGTTTGGGTAAGCAGTTAGAGCGTCGGTCTGTGGTCCAGAGAGACCGGGATTCGGTTCCCACTAAGGGAATGTACCTCAGTCGCAGTTTGTCCCCGGCCCTGGTTGGGTCATGTGGGTGGCAGCCATTCGACGTGTCCCTTTCACATCAATGTTTCTCTCTCTCTCCCGCCCACTCTATCTGAACAACAACAAAAAATGGAAAAATGTCCTCGGGTGAGGATAAAAAAAAAGAAGAATCTTTTTTCTTCCTTAATTGTAAATCTTCCTTTTAAAATCCTTTACTATAATGCAAACTTGGGCTCTTTTTTTATTTTTTGTTAATCCTCACCCGAGGATATTTTTTCCATTGATTTTTAGAGAAAGTGAAGGGGAAGGAGGTGGGGGGTGGGGAGAAACACTGATGAGAAAGAGACGTATCAATTGGTTGCCTCCCACATGGGCTCCACCAGGGTGGGGGATCAAACCTGCAACTCAGATACCTGCCCTTGACTGGGAATTGAACCCGAGACCCTTTGGCACATGGGCCAATGCTCTAACCACTGAGCGAGCACACTGGCCAGAGCTTAAGCTCTCTCTCTCTCTCTCTTTTTTTTAATATATATATCTGAAAATGTGGTCACCAAAATAGTAACAATAGTGAAGGAATTTTAAGGGTAGTTATCTTTGTGTTGTGGAACTAAAGGTAATTTTCAGTTCTTTATACTTTTTAATTTTTAACAGGGAATAGATATTACTTTTATAATCAGGAGAAAAGTTCCTATAATTTTGAAAGAAAATGTAATTAATGCTTGATTATTCACATTCAGTTATATTTTCCATAGCCAATTTCTATCTAAAATGATTTATGCCTCCTAAAATATTCATATAAAGTATATAATCATGGAAAATAAATTTTATTAATACCTAAACAAAATATGATTAAATATATGTGCTGTAAAAAACCTTTTAAATGATTTCTAAAAGTAAATATTAAAGACTTGGCATAATTAACATGAACAGAAATTTCATTAAAGTAAAACTAAAATTCTTAGAGATTGATTAATATGTAAATTTTTAGTTTTTATGAATTTAGCATTTGGATCTGAGAGTGATGTGAATATAACTACTTAAAGAAATCCCTAATTATATTTCTTTCTCTGTAGTATAAACTTATACTTTATATCCTTAGAGCTGTCATTTCTGCATCAGCCACTTGGCTCACCAGAGCACCAATCACACACAAACAGATGTCTTTACACTGCCCTCACCTAGGGCTTTCTTCAACTGCACTTCCCTCTGACTTCATGGCTTGACCTTTAAATCCAAGAAACCACAGAGAAAAACTAAAGAATTTATAGTTATTTTGTTTTAATAATTAATTGTGACATTCTTTGCTGATATAATATACAAATGTGTATACAAGTTATATTCTCTCAAAGGAAACATTTAGGCAGGTGATCACCCAGAATGTGTAATGTAGTAAAGATTAAGAAAAATCCTTCCCTTTGTTTTTAAAAATTCTTACCTCATCAAATCCAGCAGCTTGTAAATCTTGAAGCATTTGTGGATTAACCTCTGAAGTACTCCGACTTGTTTCATTTGCAAATGGTTGTAGAGAATTTCGAATTTCCAGCAAGGCTTTATGATGAGTCCCAAATTTGGGTGGATTTCTGACTTGTCGAGGGTCTTCAATTGACATTTTACTCATGTTATGCTCAGCCTTTGCAGCATCAGATGGTTTGGATAAATTCCTAAGGGATTCCCGAATTTCTTGCAACATTTGCCTGCTGCTGCCAGTGTAGTTACTGGCAGGAAAGGTCTTAGGCCTCATTTGTCTATATCCTTCTGGCTTTTCACTTCTCTTCATGAAAACATCTATATATAACCCACACAAAGGACTTTAAGAGCCACTTGACAGATCCAGAGCCTTCTCTTGAGCAAAATTGAAAAAGATCCTTTGCAGAAGTTCCAGGAATATTAAAATTCTTTACAATTTAAATAAATAACCCTATAAAAAAAGAAAAAAATGAATAAAAGTTATAAAGTGATTAACTGATAAAGCTCTAAAGCAGTACAGTGAATCAGTGGAGGCGAGAACAGGGAGGACAGGACAGGACTAACACTGATTTAGGAGATAGAGACCTAGGTTATAGTTCTAACTCCATTATGGATTACTGTATAACAAGGGCAAGTTAGTTAACCTCTCCATGCCTATTCCTTAATCTATAAAATTACCTAAAGTAATAGTTATAATGATAAAAATAATTTTAAGAGTGTTTTAGTAAGTATTAAGGTATATACAAATGCAAGGGATCACTAAATGAACAATTCAACAGGCAACCTCTCATGAACTTCATCTAGTAGCTCCAATTTTAGATATAAATCAGATTTCAAATATAAGATTCCTTTAGAAAAAAAGGGTACTGTTGCTTTAACAAGGTTTTTTATATTTTTTAGGGAAAATTTAATTAATTTTCTTTTATTACAGATGTCCCTCCTTATTCTCCCATTGATACCCTCCTCCCCGCTCCCCCAACCCCCACCTTCACCATACTGTTTCTAAAAAGGTTTTTAAACCACTAGTCCAGAAGATACCTTTATGCTTTAAAACAGGTGCTTGGGTTTATTTTCCAAACTGTGGACTGAGACTCTAGAGACAGTACACTTATCAACAATGGGACAGGCAAAGAGCCTCTGAAGACAAACTTATTTCTCACTTAATTCATGAATGTCTTCTGCAATACACTGAGAATAGTCATCTAAACTCTACTTAAATGTCCCCACTGATAAGGAAATCACTAACTCAAGAAAGCCATTCTACTTGTGATCTGCAAAAATTGTTAGAAATATTTTCGTTATGTGGAGCATCATGAAATCTCACTCAGGGTGTGTTGGGAGCCCTTATGAGCCTGTACTAAACAACTTTGCCTACCTTCTTACCTAACCATCCTAATAGCCCTGTAAGATAGGTTTACTATCTGTACTTTGTAAATGAGGAAACTGAGGTTCAAAGAGTCTGAGTTTGTAAGTGGTACCACTGGGATGTGAAATACTACCAGTTATCTACTGGGAGCCTATTGCTATTCGCATTAGAGGTAATCACCATTCATGTTACATAAAGATGTCTACAGACACATAGATATAGACATTTCCTTCTTTTCATTTAGGCCTCAGTCCTGTTACCTCCTCAAAGACCCTTTCCCTAGTCATCTAGTTACCTTGTTCTGTTTTGGATACCTTCTAGTTTGTAAAAAACAAAACAAAACACAGTATTTGCAATGAAAAACAAAAAAATTATTCAAGTATTTGTTCTGTTATTAGCAATGTGAACTTGGACATTTCATTTCCTCAAAAACCATCTGCTAAGGGATGAAATGGTTGGAGTAACAAGGTTGACCTTATGGCTTGAACAAGTTTTTAAGAGGAGCAATGCAGTATAAATAAAGGAATATATACACAAGTGTTAGAATATGTAGACTGTTCTTTGCAATATCATCTATAACAGCAAAAGATGACATCAATCTAGATGCTCATCAGTAATTGTTCAAGTAATTCATAGTACATCTATATAATGCAGTGAAGCAGATATAAATGATGCGGTAATTGTTCAAGTAATTCATAGGATATCTACATAATGTGGTGAAGGAGATATAAATGGTGCAGTTCTATCCAAATGTAATGACATGAATAGATACCCATATATATTCTTAAGCAAAAAAGGCAAGTTTCAAAAAACTACATATAAAATAAAGACATTTTCTATTCTAAAATTAGATTATGATGATGTTGAAGAGCTCTGTAAATATACTAAAAATCACCTAATTGTACACTTTAAATCAGTAAACTTCATGGTATATAAGTTCAGAGCTGTTAAAAATAAACCCCTTTGCCATGGACGGTTTGACTTAGAGTGTTGGCCCTCGGACTGAAGGGTTGCAGGTTCAATTTGTGGCCCTGGTCGTGTAGGAGGCAACCGATCTCTCGATGTTTCTCTCCCTCCCTCTTTCACTCTATCTAAAATCAATGAAAAAATATCCTAGGGTAAGGATTAACAAAAAAAATCTTTTTATTTTTTCAAATTATATTTATGGATATTCATTATATATACATGTACATGAATATCTGCAGCAGGCCTGAGACAGGATGAAGTCCTGAAGCAAACAACTAGAGGCAGTTTCCTGATGACTTTACTTAACTAATCAGTACTTATGTGATAAAATTGCTAAATTAGCTGAGTCAATCAAATTCTATTAGACAAGCAGTCTACATTTCCCCGTTATGTAAAAACAAAAATGATAGTTTGTCATTGTGTTGCTGAAAATTACACATATTCTGTCTACAACATAACCAGATCTACTGATAATTACTTCACAAATGAAATTAGAACTGACTCATCTTGTGCCTTTATGAAGATGGTCCCTCATGATAAACATATTTTCCCTAAGCCTTCCCAAAATATTAATAGCTAATGAATTTTTCTGGGTTTAACATTTAGCTCACCTTCCAAAAAAGAAATATTCCCCCAAAGCTCACACTTCATCCGTGGCCAAGGATGTTAATGGAAAAAGAATGCCCCGGAGGTTTCTGCAGAATAATGGCCAAGAGTCAGAGAACAATGGATGAGGAAGTTCCTCCCTTTATAATTGAATAAAGGTCCAATCAAGGAATCTCTCCTACACCCGGAGCTGGTGGCTTTTACAAGATCTTCCTACAAAGATTTCAAAATTATTATAGATCAGGAATTGCTGCTATTTCTCATTTTTCCCTTTTTCTATTGCTTATTATGACCCTCCCATCCTTTTTCTATCATTGTGTACTGTGGTGAGTGAGTGGGAATAGAGAGCAAGAGCAAAGACAACCTCACAGGTCTCTAGACCAAGAGGAGCCATATCTGGACCTGATGGAGAGACTACTGGACATAGACCACAGGACCAATGAATCTAGCTTCTGCTGCTCAGGGCCCAATATGCTAGCAAAAGAATAACACAACACTATGAATGTCTTTCCACGACAGTAAGTACAATATTTTCTTGTTTCTAAGATGCATCCTTTTCTAGATTTTAGTATTTCTAAAATTGAGTTTATCTTAAAAGCAATATTAAAAGAAATTTGTCAGCTCTAAAGCAGAGAAGTTCTGATATAGCAGACAATGCACATAACTAACCCGATTATAAATGAAAGGTGAGCCCAGCCTGTGTGGCTCAATGGTTGAGTGTCAACCCATGCACCAAAAGGTCGATTCCTGGTCAGGTCACATGCTCAGGTTGTGGGCCAAATCCCCAGTGGGGGGCATGCAAGAGGTAGCAAATCAATGTTCTCTCTCATCGACATTTCTCTCTCTCTCCCTCTCCCTTCCTCTCTCTCTCTAAAATCACAAAGAAAAAAATTTAAAAGATAAAATTTCCTTGTCATTTCAATTGTATTATTTTCATTGCCTGCACCATGTATGGTTGAATGTAAACCCTTAATTAATGCTCAAAATGTCTTTTAAAATATTCTACTATGTTGTAGCATCACATATTCAGAAACTGCCTGTCACCCAATAGGCAAGGCAATTAAAGGCATAAAAATCTGCCAAATTTAGGCAAGATTACAGAATTATCAAAGGTGAGAAAGGCTCTTAAGTAAAAACACTCAAACATGAACCATTTGCCAAAATGTATTATCATCTGAAGCTGTTTAATTTCCAGCAGTAACCCAGCTAAGGAAAAAAACAAAACTAAGAATTTAAACAAAAAGAAAAGGAATATGAAACCCTAGTATTCTTCAGTATGCCTCAAAATTATATATTCAATCAGAAAGACAAGATGTTCAAGATAATTAGGGTCATATAATATATATTTTACTAAAATTTATATATTAAAATATATACATTTTGCCTTGGCCAGTGCAGCTCAGTAGGTTGGGGCGTGATCCCATTCACCAAAAGGTCAAAGATTCGACTCCCAAGTTTCGGGTTCAATCCAGGTGGGCATGTAATGGAGGCAACTGATTGATGTTTCTCTCTCAAATGAAGTTTCTCTTTCTCTCTCTCCCTTCCTCTCTCTAAAAATCAATAAACATATCCTTGGGTGAGGATTAAAATATACATATAGCTCAGCTGGTGTGGCTCAGTGGCTGAGCATTGACCCATGCACCAAGAAGTTGCCAGCTTGATTCCCAGTCAGGGCACATGCCCAGGTTTCGGGCTCAATTCCCAGTGGGGGGGGCATGCAGGAAGTAGCCAATCTATCTATCTCTCCCCATCCATGTTTCCATCTCTCTCTCTCCCTCTCCCTTTCTCTCTCTGAAAATCAATAAAAACATGCCCTGGCCAGTTTGGCTCAGTGGTTAGAGCGTCGGCCTACGGTCCGGAGAGACCCAGGTTCGGTTCCCGCTAAGGGCATGTACTTCGGTTGCAGTTTGTCCCCGGCCCTGGTTGGTCGTGCGGGTGGCAGCCACTCGATGTGTCCCTTCACGTCGATGTTTCTCTCTCTCTCTCTCCTTCCTCTCTCTCCCTCCCACTCTATCTGTACAAAAAATTGAAAAATATCCTCGGGTGAGGATAAAAAAAATAAATAAATAAAAATCAATAAAAACATATTTTAGAAAAAAAAAATATATATACATATATATTTTCCCCCTCCACACAGATGAGTAATGGATCCAGAGAGGTAAGGTGGCCTGCCTAAGGTTACCCAGTCAGTCGGAAGTCATGCTAGGAATCAACTATGCATTCTGAGCCAGCCCAGTGCTGTTCTCATCATACCTACAATTTGAGTTTTCCAAAGGCAGGAATTAAGACTCACTAGTTCTTTGAAGGGACACATAAATTGGTTTGAGTGAACAAACAAAAGTTCCATTTCTTTAAAAGGTCAGACCTTGTCCGGCTGGTGTGGCTCAGTGGTTGAACATCGACCTGTGCACCAAGAGGTCACTGGTTCGATTCCTGGTCAGGACACATGCCCAGGTTGTGGGCCCAATCCCTGGTGGAAGGCATGCAGGAAGCGGCCAATCGATGTTCTCTCTCATCGATGTTTCTATTTCTCTCTCCCTCTGACTTCCTCTCTCTCTAAAATCAGTAAAGGGAAAAAATTAAAATAAATAAATAAATAAATAAATAAATAAAAGGTCAGACCTTCATCAAATATAAAATGTCAGTAAATCCAAACAAATATTGTTGATAGCTTGTCCAACTTAGGAAAAAAACAGGTACCATTACCTAAAAAGATTTCAGTGTTACCTTGGGTTGAATTAGGTTTATAAAAAAGATGGCCTGCGTCAGTGCTCTGACTAAATCAGTTATGAGACTAGCAACAGGCATATGTACCGGTTCCTAGAAGCTTAGTCTTAGTTGTTTAGACAGCAATATTTAAGAATTTCTGCATAATGATATTTTCTTCACTTAGTTTTCTAAGAATTAAATAATCAAAAGTGAAGATAATCACTGTAATTTATCTTCATGCTAAAAAATGATTGCCATTTCTACTTGGTAAAAATGTTGTTCAATGACTAAATTACTTTTGTGGCCCTGGCTCAGCAGTTGGAGCATCAGCCTGCAGACCAGAGAGTCCTGGGTTCGGTTCCCGCTAGGGGAACTTACCAAAAAATAAATAAATAAATAAAATAACTTTTGTGGTCTACAAAATCCCCCATTAATCTAAATCTAACATTTAGAACGAAAACTAAGTAACCAGAGTTAGAACAGTTCCAAGGCTACATTTATATAGAACACCAAGAACTAGCATTAAAAAAATAAATAAAAATAAAAACTCAATCTATAGAAGGAAATCCAGATAATATACCAAAAAACTGTAGCACCACTTTAGTATTTGATTTTAGAGACTGCCAAGGCATGTTCAATAAATATTCAGGCATGGAAAGATAATGTTCCATGATCTAGCTTCATGTAGTAGTAACTGATCAGAAGAACACAATGCTACTTCTTTTACTGTTAAATCAAATTCCTCCACTGCCTTAGGGACTCAATTTATTAAAGGAAACAAATGAACTAAATTAAATCACAAATGTGGATATCTTAGCAGAGAACATTCATTCTCATTATAATGAACAATTATATTGCTACTTCTTCATGGAGAAAATTTGATAAAAACTTTAAACTTCATAAAAAATGCACAAAGGCCTGACAAGTTTCATAATCCCAGGCATTCAAATCCATCTCCCAAACTGGATTGAAACAATATTACTTGTGTATGCAACTATACTTATTTCTCACTAGGTTTAAGATCACTTGTACACGATGACATCTTTTAAGTCATATTAACATATGGGTCGACGAACAAACTTTGTTCCCTTAGAAAATAACTTTCAATTGAAGAAATCAGAGAATGGGGTTAAATCAAGTCACTTGAGAGTCATAACTTCTTGAAGTTATGATAAACACTGTTCCCTTAATCTCCTTTCCTTCGTTTTCTGTATTTATACGCACACTTACTACACAGAGATCCCTTCATCTCTCCCACTCCTTCCGACTATGAACAGTAACCTAACATTACAGGGGACTGTAAATAGAAACTCCCAGGATTTCTTCAAGGTATACCCAGGATCCGGTCCCTGTAGGATGCAAAAAACTGTAGCTTTCACTGTAATTTCCCTTCAGAACCCTCTTTCGTTTCCCTTCCTTCCTTCAACACCTTGACCCGTGCATGCTGCGGGTATCATGATGGAGGTGAGAGACAGTCGCCCCAAGGCCTCCAGCGGAGCAGGCTCTTCCCAGCCTAACCTCCACCTCCAAGGCCGCAAAGCCTGGGGCTCTTCCTCCAGCCTCCGGCGCGGCCAACCCTCACTTCCCCAAGGCAGGGCTCAGCTCAGGTCCCTGCAACCAGCCAAGACAGGCCCGCACCGGGCCGGGACAGCCCGTGGTCCGCGGCAGCCCCTGGAGCCCCGCCAGCGGGGATGGGCGTGGGCGCCGGCGGCCACCGCCCCGCCAACTCCAGCTCTGAAGGAGAGTGCGCCCCACCCGCTACACCAGCGCCGGACCTACCTGCGAGGGAGTGCGGGGCTCCTGGACAGCGGCCGAGGGCCGGAGGCAGGCGCCGAGGCGGCCGGACCCTCCCAGGGACCCCAAGTATCCCGGGTGGGGCAGGGCGGGGAGAGATGCCGGAGGGCTCCCGCGGGCCAGCGCGGCCCGTCGCGAGGGTCGCGGGGACCTTGCTCTCCCCTTAGCACCAGACCATTGCCGCCGCCGCCATTTTGCCTTCCACTCGGTGTCGCCGCCGCCGCACTCCGCGGCAGGTTTCCCGGATGTGGGCATTTCCCGGCGTCGCTTGCGCGGGGGCCGAGGACTGGGGGCTTCTGCCCGCCCGGCTGCTGAGCGCGCCGCCCGCGGCCGCCCGCCCTCCGCCCGTCGCCCGCCCGTCTGCGGGTTCGCTGGCGTCGCCCCGGCCCAGGGCTGGCCAGGTGACTCGCCCCGGTTCGTGGGACCCGGTTGTTCTCTTGAAACTTCGCTGTGGACATCAGGATTCGGGCTTTCTAGAGGCTTTGAAATAAAATGACTTTTGCTTCGGTCTCTTTTCCCCAGTAAATCCATGAGTTGAAGTATTCTCCGTATCAGCCGGATAATATATTCTTGAACAAAAGATGAACGGCTTAGAGAGTTTTATCTGTCAACCAAACCGGCAGAAAAGTCGTTATTGCTGTCATTGCAGTAGTAGTGACGGTGAGGTTTATTTTTGTTGAAGTGGAAATTTGTGATGGGATCATTGGGTGTAGGATGTTTGAACGTACCTTCCGCTCTGTGTGGACCGCCTTGGCCAGTTCTGCCACTTGAAAATGTATGCAAGTCGGTATTTTAAAATAGCCCCTTTCGTCATTTTTCTACTAGAGTCTACTAACATTTTTTTTAATTAAATACCTCCTTTTCTGATGTTAGTTACTGGCTACTGTATCCATAAGTTCAAATCGAAAACCTCTGTTAAAAGAATAGAGCACTTGCTTGAAAAATATTCCACAAGTAGAGTTTGTACAAAGTAGAGGGTTTTGACCCAAGGTGGTCACTTAATAGCCTTACTTTTTACTTTCTTCAACTGGAGGACTAACTAAC